CTTTTTTTTTTTTTTTTTTTTTTTGAGACAGAGTCTGACTCTATCACCCAGGCTGGAGTGCAGTGGCGCGATCTCGACTCACTGCAAGCTCTGCCTCCCGGGTTCATGCCATTCTCCTGCCTCAGCCTCCTGAGTAGCTGGGACTACAAGTAGCTGGGACTACAGGCACCTGCCAACACACCCGGCTAATTTTTTTTTTTTTTAATTTTTAGTAGAGACAGGGTTTCATCGTGTTAGCCAGGATGGTCTCGATCTCCTGACCTCGTGATCCGCCCGCCTCGGCCTCCCAAAGTGCTGGGATTACAGGCGTGAGCCACCGCACCCGCCAGTCTTGGTCTCTTGACCTCGTGATCCGCCCACTCAGTCTCCCAAAGTGCTGGGATTACAGGGGTGAACCACCATGCATTCGTAAGAGGTTCTGGAGAGGACAGCACTCAGCCCCAAAGACTTGAGTGATCCCTCATGGTGGGATTGAAGGTGGGATTGGCAGGTTAGATGAGGACATCTTTGGGGGCAGAGGGGTTTTCTGGCACTTTTTCACCCCACCTTGCTCCCTGTCCCACCTGGGGACTCATTTAGATTACAGGCAGGAAGGTCCGGGTACACTTGAAGGTCCCAAACCGGCTGCACATGAGAATCACCTCCAGGGCATGTTAAAAACACAGACTCTTAACTGTGAAGCTCCCTTGCTTCAAGGAGCATCTCAGTAAAAGCACAAAATCCTATAGCAAGTGAATATATCCAGGAACAAGAGCTGAGAGGAGAGAGTGCCGTCTCTGCTGGAGCTTTTGCCTGACAGGGTTAAGGATCCGGTGGCAGTGAAAGTCGTGCTTGCCTGGCTTCATAGGCATCCCACATTGAGCACTTACCGGCATGTGCGAACTGCCCGCAGCCTCGTGAGACAGCCAGCAAACCGTCTGATGATTTCCACAGTTGTCTGGGTCCCAAAAATGGCCCATGAGTCCCCACTGCAGGGTCCCCAGAGCCTGGCAGACAACCACACAGCAGCCAAGCTCCAGAGATGGCCTCAGGGGAGAATGTGACTTTCTGGGAGCGCCTCCCCAGGCGCTGCTGGAACCTTTGCCTCCCCTTGCTTCAGCCGCTCCTCGGTGTCTACGCCCGTCTGAGTGTCTGTGGCTGGGTCACGGCCCAAGCTGATGAGTGTTTAGAAAACCCAACAGGAGCTGCTTTCTCCTGGTGACAGGCAGAGACGAGGGGGAGCTCAAGTGAGCTGTCACCTCAGAGGATGCGCAGACCTGCCTCCAGTCACACGTCACCTGATCCCCAGGTCAAAGGCAGAGGTCAAAAGGGGTCCAGGGAATCATCTGACAGCTCAAACCGGGGAACAATACCCAGCACCAGCAGAATTGTGTCCTGCCTGCAGATTCCCCACCGTGGGGAATGCAGGGGGCTGGAAGGAGCAGAAAGGTCCGGTCCCTAAATCTGGGACCTTTTTCTCAGGGCAGAATTGCTTTAATCTGCGAGTAGCTAAGCAAGGATGCCCCTCTATCAGACTCTGATTGACTGTAGATTCTTAGCCGTGATAATCTGATTAGCAAACAGCTCATTTCTCTGCCAGGCCTTCCACCTTCCTCCACTCACGCAGTACTCACATAATACTACTCATATAGTAATTCAAATAACAACGATGGCTGGGCACAGTGGCTCACACCTGTAATCCCAGCACTTTGGGAGGCCGAAGTGGGAGGATTGAGACCAGCCTGGGCAACATAGTGAGACTCCCATCACTACAAAAAAATTTAAAAATTAGTTGGGTGTGTTGGCACATGCCTGTGGTCCCAGCTACTTGGGAGGCTGAAGCAGGAGGATTGCTTGAGCCCAGGAGGTAAAGACTGCAGTGAGTCGTGATCGCATCACTGCACTCCAGCTTGGGGACAGAGCAAGACACTGTCTCAAAAAAAAAAAAAAAGTTATCACTTGCTGAGTTCTTCATATGTCCAAACCCTGTTAGCCCTGCACGTGCATTCCTGTACATTCATCATGGCAGCCCTCGGCCTTCCTGTACTGCGTTGACTTCTTGGACAACACTCTCTTGGTTTTCCTCCTGCGTCCCCGGTCACGCGTCAGTTTGTTTTGCTGGTTGTTCCTCGTCTCTCTTCTCCCCGGCCCATAACAGTTGGAGTGCCCAGGGCTCCGGTCTTGTTCCTTTTCTCTTCTCCTTCTCCACTCTCCCTTAGTGAGGTCATCCCAATCTGTGGTCTTAAACATCATCTCTATAAAATCTGCCGACAACTCGAACCTGTCCACCTCTTCCGAACTCCTATTCATATACCCAACTGCCCACTCAACCTCTCTATCTGGATGTTTCACAGATGCTCAGACTCAACATGTCCAACCTGAAATCCTGGTTGCTCCTGTTCCTACCCCAAACGTGCCTCACTCTCACCCTCAGCTCTCCCAGTTTCCACCAATGGCAGCTCCCACCTTCCACTTGCTCAGAACTTCCTAGGGTCCCCATTTTCCTTGAGTGTGAGGCAATTCCCTGTGATGACCTGTAGGGCTTGGCAGGACCTGCACCCTGACCCAACGTGGTTTCTGTGCCTTGTGCTTCAACTTACGCTGGCCCCCTTGCTGTTCCTCAAGCACAGCAGGCATATCTTCGGCCTTCACTGTAGCTGTTCTCTCTTCTTGGAACACATCCCTTCCAGATATTTCCTTGGATCACCTTCTTCAAGTTTTTCTCACATCTCACTTTCTAACAGAGGCCTAAACTGACAACTCCATTTCTTGCCACTGCTTTCCCCCACCCCACCCCTCCTGGTCCCCTTACCTGACCTCACTTTTTATTATTCCTTGTTACCTTCAAACACACTACATGTTTTACTTATTGATTTTGTTTCCTTTTCATGTTTCTCTTTAGAGATGAGGACACATCTTTTTTGGGTCCATTGATGTCACTCAAGTTTCTAGAACAATGCCTGATACATAATAGGTGCTTAATAAACAATGCTGAATTGACTCACATAAGCTGCTGAATCTCCTCCAGGCCAATTTGAAGAGCTTCAGAGGCTGCATATCAAACACACTAAAATGTTGCCACGCTCACATTAAGTTTCCTGCTTACAATTTCCTTTCTATAGAATCTTGACACATTTCATTTATGATTGGCTTTGATGTCTCAATCATTAGGCATATTTGGGAAATATGAGATCCTAACTTACAATCTGATTTCAAATATTTTACAAATATTAAATATTTATTTATTTATTAGTGACAGCATTTCGCTCTGTTGCCCAGGCTGTAGTGCAGGGAAGGGATCATGGTTCACTGCACTTGAAACTCCTGGGCTCAAGCAATCCTCCCACTTCTGCCTTCGGAGTAGCTGGGACAACAGGCAAACACAACTGCGCCCAGCTAATTTTTATCTTTATTTTTTGTAAAGATGCAGGGTCTCCCTATGTTGCCCAGGCAGGTCTGAAACTCCTGGCTTCAAGCAATCCTCCGACCTTGGCCTCCAAAAGCACTGAGATTACAGGGGTAAGCCACCACATCCAGCACAAATATTAAATTAACAAACTTTGGTTATGCCAATAAAATGTGTATCAATGGGATTTTTATAGTTGTCATTTCATATTTGAACCCATAATGTATTTTCAAGATCTGAAATATTGTCATAGGCCCCGCGACTCTGGTGCCTACAGGAAAAAGTCTGATGATGTCAGTGGTGGAGTTGAAGAGTGGACAAAACCCACCTGCTAAGAGGACAGCCTTAAAACCTGGTTCCAGAGATGTCCTCAGTCTTGAACGACCTTCTGATTTTTAAACATTCACTCTCCAGTCTCCATGAGGCATGGCTGGGCAGCTTTCCTCAGGTTCCTGGAGGCCCAGCCTTATGATCAAGACTCTTCTTGCGTTCATGTCCATACGCATGCATCCTGTGAAACTTGCTTTCTGGGAAACCATGTGACTCTGTATTCTGAGAAGTCAAAAGAACCCCACCCACCCTCTCTCCAATCTCTAGGTCCTGTTTTCTTTGTCATTTCTGCACATGTGGTTGCTAGATGGATCCTAGTCTCCCTCATTACCTTCTTACCTGGGATCTTTTCAGTCACGAGTGTCTACAGTGGGCAGAGCATACAAGAAGAAGGGCTCTTGTACATAGCTGGTATAAGCCTCTGCAGAGTCACAGTTTAAAGAACCTTTGTTCAGTCTCCTGACTGTAAATAGCTGGGCATGCAAACAACATTAGCCTGTCTCATGAAGCCAGGACATGGCCTGCCCCCACCTTCACTGTATGTTGTCACTCCCTGTCCATGCTGCCTGCACTCACACTGGGTCCCAGGAATGTTGGTGGCCCATTAGTCCCCCATCTGTGTGGTGGCCTTTGGGTTTGCGCTCTGAACTTGCACCTTCACACCTTCAGTTTCGGGGTAACCTATACTTGCTCTGCAGCTGTCTTGGCCCTCTTAGGGATCCCTCTGGTTTCTGGCTCCTGTTAACAACAACAACAACAACAACAAAAACTCTTTATTCAACACCTCCAGATTCACCAGGCTGTGGACAGACATGTCTCAGCAACCTTGCCGGCACAACATTCCTGCACCAGGATGTTCCTTCCCTCAGACCTCTAGGGAGTCTCATCCTGCCTTCTGTCTGCTCTTTTTCCCCACCCCTAGCCCTTGACATTGGGGCTACACATGGCATGTGGCATAAAAGGAACATGAGCCTGGGAGGTGTTGGTGTTACAGATTTAGTTTCCAATTCTGAATGTGCCACTCTCTATCTCAGTGACCTCAAGTATGTCATTTAGTGCATTATTTAACCTCTGTGACCCTCAGGTTTCCATTAGTCAAATGGGTTTTATAATAATATTTATATCTCAGAAGCTCTTTAAGAATTCACGTCAAGTACCTTGGATAGCGCCCGGTGCAGGGTAAGTACTCACTTAACCTTAGGCTTCCTCTGACTTTGCCTTTCTGCCCTCTAACATCTGTAAGTGCTGTTTTTGAGGGAGGGGGTCTTGCCTTCAGTCTTAATTCATGCCGTCTTCCAACTCGGGCTCACATATGTCAGCATAGGCAATGTGCTGCTTCTCCGTGTCTTCTGTCTTTCGCCAGGCCTTCTTAGAGTTCTGCCTAGTTCCTTAGTGCGATAATGTGCACCAGGGTGGGGGTTGACCTCCGCTATACCAGGGCTCTCTGTGACCCTGTCTGTGCTTGCTTCACAATTCTTCTGAAGTGCCCCCTTTGCTCTCCCCCCACTAGACACGCATTCTGTGGTCAAGAGAAAGAGAGGTGAGAGGCTGGGTCTTTTCATACAGTTTTTGACATTAATCCTGAGTCTTTCAGAAATGGCGAATTTAAAAAGCACTCCGCCTTGATAGGAATGAACACATCACATTTTTCTATTGATGTACTGGGTCTGCATTCGTACATCATCTAGGCAGCCCCCTAGATTTCTGCAGAGCCCATCACTTTGCTGGCTCCCCACCACCCTCACTGAGGCACAAATGCTTGCAAAGAATGTTAGTCTCCAGGAGTGTCAGCAATGGCTCTGGCCTCTGAGTCGTCGGATGTCAGATTTCTTTTCGGAGATGATTATTTGTGATGTCATTTATCCCGTGTATGTGGCTCAAATTTTACAATATATGTTACAATATATCCCTCTGTCCTCTGTCCTGACTACCAAGGCCAACTGAAGAAGATGGGCCCATCTCTGAAGACTGGAAGCTGCTCCTCCAGCTGGCTTGGGATATAGGTGGCCTTGTCTGCAAACAGAGAGAGGGATGAAATCAGTGGGTTCTTAGGCTTTTGCAGACCTTGATCTCCTGTGACAGACAAGAGCCTCTCTGCTGCTGCTACAGTTGTCACAGTGGAAACCTCTTCCCCAAAAGGCAAGTTGTCACCAGCCTGGCTGCCCACATGGGGGCCTGGGTGACGAATGTCTTGCAATTATTCTTCAGTTGATGCCAGAAACAAAAAGTATATATCCCACACTCTAGGATTTGAGACCAGCTCCCAGGACCCCTCTTAGCACGGTGAGTCTTGGGGAATGCAGGCTCTGGGCTCATCTCTTACCACATGCCCTTCCCCCACCCCACCCCTATTTCCCTGCAGATGAACCAAATTAAACTGCACAGCCTCAAAGGGAGAGGTTGCCAAAAGACAGTCTGAGGGGAAATGGGAAGAAGCAATCCCCCATTCTGCTTTAGGGCGGGGGACAAAAGGGTTCCTTCTTCCTTGAATACTGTTAATCACAGGCCTTTTGGGGGCCCTGCTGGAGGAGATATCCCATGGGCTGTCCTCTAAATCACATGAGATGACTCGTCTCCACCCACATCAGCCACCCTGCTTTCCACACTGTGGAAATTTCTCTGTTCTTCTCTGACAATTGAATGCCAAAATTTTTGAGGTTCTTTCCTGCCAATAAATTCTGTTTTGTTCCAGGGGAAATAGGAGTCTACCATAAATGCTTTATTTGTATACAGTATTTATAGTGTTCTTCCACCTAAGTATGATCAGTGTTTTCCTTTTCACATCCAGCCAGCCATCCTGGGTCTTCTTGCAGGATGGACAGTCCGGAGGCACTGAAACAGGTGCAAGAGATAGAGAGGATGTCCCCTGGCACTAAGACAGATGGCATTTGACCCCACTGTTCTCTGTCAGTCGATGGGGAAGGCACATTTTAACAAGAGCGGGGATCCCTCTCAGGTTCTTTGAGGTGCCGCCACTCCTGCTCTACCGGCAAACCTAACACCTATTCAATATCATGCCCGTAAGGTATGAACACTGGGGACTAATCGAGAAGAGCAGTGAAGGGGAAACTGAGGCAAGGGCCAAGGCCAGGCCGGTGGGTATTGCTGCTTCCAAGGCAGCTGGGGAGGAGAGATCCCATTTCCTGAGCTCAGCTTGTTCCATTTCAGTTTGAACAGATGGAAATATAGTTCAATGTTTCAACATCATTTGCCTTTCTCGTGCTAAAATATTGATAAGTGCTGCCCGGGCTGATGCCCCCGCAGTTCCGAGCAGTAACTGGAGCATGATGTGTACTGAAGTGAGACATGGCAAAGCCTTTAACGAGTGTTTAAAATTCCTGGAATAATGCTCAACACTGGCTCGGCTCGTTCGGCTCCTGAAAACTGCCCCCCCTCCGGGTCGCCCTCTAATCGGCAGGAGGAGTGCGAGCACAGCCCGGCCCCCCTGCTGGTGGCAATTAGTGCGGCAGCTGCTCGTCTTCAGGACGGGAAACAATGCAGGGGGTGCCTGCATCTGCCCAGGCGGCTGAGCCAGGCAGGGAGGCTGGCGCACCGGGGAGGCGAGGACACAGGGAGCTGGCTCCTCCACCTGCAGGGGGCTGTCATACGGAACTCAGACCCCAGGGAGAGGGAACACTGGGTGGGGCCCTCCAGAAAGGCAGATGAGGGAAGGGCAAGAAAAGAGGGAAGAACACCGGGCACGGTGGCTCACGCCTGTAATCCCAAGACTTTAGGAGGCCGCCATGGGTGGATCACCTGAGGTCAGGAGTTCGAGACCAGCCTGACCAGCCAACATGGTGAAACTCTGTCTCTACTAAAAAAAAAAAAAAAAAAAAATTAGCTGGGCATGGTGGTGTGTGCCTGTAATCCCAGCTACTCTGGAGGTTGAAGCAGGAGAATTGCTCAAACCCAGGAGGCAGAGGTTGCAGTGAGTCAAGATCATGTCACTGCACTCCAGCCTGGGCGACAGAGTGAGACTCCATCTCAAAAAAAAGAAAGACAGAAGAGAAAATGGAGAAAAAGGGAAAAGAGGAAGATGAAGAGGGTAGGGACTCAAGAAGGAAGGGGAGAGGAGGAAGAGAGGAAGTAGCCAGGAACAGCAAATCCCCTGGGAAGAGCTTGCCAAGCCCCGAAAAGAGAATCCAATGTGTGGCTGTAGAAAGGGAAAAAGAACCCTCAGGAGGGCCTCAGCCAGTCCTAAGACACCTCTTTGCAAGTTGCAGCCATGACAAAGGCCCCCAGACCCAGAGCTGAGAGGAAACCTACAGTGTGGACCTGGGATGTCACTTCAAAGGTTTAGAACAATCCAGGCTTCCCAGGCAAGGCTCTCCCAGGATCACAGTATCCCCCGTGTGGCGATCAGGTGGTCTAATTGTAGAATGTTAAATTTCTCACATACTTTAAGGTGCTGGGTTTTTGGTTCACAATTTTTGAAAACTCTTGGCTGGGTGTGGTGGCTCATGCCTGTAATTCCAGCACTTTGAGAGGCTGAAGTGGGTGGATTACTTGAGGCCAGGAGTTCAGACCAGCCTGGCCAACACGGTGAAACCCCATCTCTACTAAAAATACAAAAATTAGCCGGGCATGGTGGCGGGCACCTGTAGCCCCAGCTACTTGTGAGGCTGAGGCAGGAGGATCACTTTAACCTAGGAAGTGGAGGTTGCAGTGAGCTGAGATCATGCCACTGCACTCCAGCCCGGGTGACAGAAAGAGAATCCAACAACAACAACAAAAAAACCTCTTTATAGATCTTTGTGAGATTGTTCAGAATAATGTTTTCCAGGAGGCCTACTTGAATCAACAAGGTGATGTCAGCTCTTTTCAACAGTGACATGGTTAAGAGAGAAAGCAAGACTGTGAGAGAAAGCAAGGCTGTGCCCCAGAAAGCTTTGGGGTATCCCCATTGGAAGGAATTCCAGGCTGGTGAGTGTATGGGACTTAAGTCAGTAGAACTCAGAGCCACTAACTGAAAGTATAAGCATTATTATTATACATGATCATAGATTGATTAATATTTACAACAGGAAAGAAAAAATAGGGCCGGGCGCGGTGGCTCACGCCTGTAATCCCAGCACTTTGGGAGACCGAGGCGGGCGGATCATGAGGTCAGGAGATCAAGACCATCCTGGCTAACATGGTGAAACCCCGTCTCTACTAAAAATACAAAAAATTAGCCGGGCGTGGTGGTGCGTGCCTGTAGTCCCAGCTACTCGGAGGCTGAGGCAGGGGAATGGCGTGAACCCAGGAGGCGGAGCTTGCAGTGAGCTGAGATGGTGCCACTGCACTCCAGCCTAGGCGACAAAGCGAGGCTCCGTCTCAAAAAAAAAAAAAAAGAAAAGAAAAAATAAGAAATCTACAACGGGTTGGAAAGCAAGGCCCAATGAACTCATTACTTATGCTCTTACCTCTGCCTTCCACAAAATAAAACTCAATGAAGCAATGTAAATATAACAATCCTATTTTCTGAGACCAAAAAAAAGGGGGGACATGTGATCTGACACACAGGAGGATATTTATGGAAGCAAACAAGGTGCAGTATAAAATGGAAGGAGTCAGGCCAGGAAGGTCTAGGATGTGAATACAGAGAGGCTGGGGCAGACCATGGGCCTCCAGAGGCCCACCTAGGGCCGCTCTGATTGGACAAATCTGCATAGAGGAGGAACTGTCTGGGGCCAGGAAGTGCTATGGGGTCTGGGCGTCTGGGGAAGCTGGCAGCAGCCTCATCTTGTCCTTCATCTGCAAGTCAGGCCAGCTGGGTGGGGAATGCCTGGCCCAGTGGCACAATGATACTTCTATCTATACACATTAGTTCCAGGCATCTTTCCTCACCCCTATGATGTTTTAGCAGCTGGCCCCTGTCCAGCCACCCTAACAAGGCCAGCCCATCACCCAAACCATTTCTACGTGGGCTGTTTCTGGAACCAGCACAGTCCCTCTGGGCTGAGGCCTTGGCAATGGGTCTGTCCCTCTGGGAAGGGGGCTCTGTCTGTGATTATTCTCCAAGTTCTTCTTCAGCATCTGTCCATTGAGTGACTGGGGCATCTGGTTTCCATGACCAGAGGTGGGGGTGGGAAGGAGGGGCTGTGGTTGTGGCCAAGGCGGAGACCCCCCCCCCAGAGGCTGGCCATCTTCTCAAGAGTTTATCTGCAAGAGTTGAAGAGCCCTACCTTCAGGCAGCCAGCCTAAGCACTGCGGCCGGGGCTGGCGGGGAGGTCAGCACCTGTGAGAAGACAGACGTGATAGGGAGTCCTGGGGTGGCCAGAGTGAAAGGAGTAGTAGCCAAGCACAAGGGCCAGACACCAGGGGCAGTCCACATCTCTAAACTTGGTGAAATGTTTCCAGCCCCACATCCAATCTGGTTATCACAACCAGTGCCAACTGTTATTACCACGAATTCAGAGAGGAGCAAGACCAGAGCTCAGATTGCTGGAATAACAGGACCAAGGTTACAAGGCCTGAGTTTTCCCCCAATGCACAGTGTTACCTTGAAGAATTTCCAACCCAGAGACGCCCCTGTTCCTACAAATCACCTGGGATCTTGTTAAAATGCATTTTTCTTTTTCTTTTTCTGAGATGGAGTCATCACACAGGCTGGAGTGCAGTGGTGCAATCTTGGCTCACTGCAGCCTCTGCTTCCCAAATTCAAGCAAATCTCCTGCCTCAGCCTCCCAAGTAGCTGGGACTAGAGGCCAGCACCACCACGCCTGTTAATTTTTGTATTTTTAGTAGAGACGAGGTTTCACCATATTGGCCAGGCTGGTCTCAAACTCTAAAATGCATTTCTAATGAGTCCCCAAGAGATACCAGAGCTTCCAGGACCCCTCCCTCACCCTTGCACTGAAGAACAAGGCCCTCAGGCAGTATTTTCCCATCCTACCTGTTAATAAGAATCACCTCCAACACCTGGGGATTCCAACGCAATAAGGACTCAGAACTGTGACCGTTTGACGAGAGCCTCAGGTGCCCCTCATGTTCAGATAAGTTTGGGAAACACTGCCCCAGACGTGTGGGAG